TGCTGGGTTCCTTGCTCCCATTGCTGTGCAGGGGCAAGAAAAAAAGAGGAGTCTTACCAGGAAGCTTCTCAGCTTGTCTAACTGTTTTTTGGGAATGAGAGCATAGAAGACGTTTGGAGAAGGGCATTTGATTCAAGTAGATTAGCACACTAATTCTGGGAGTCACTGTAATGAATGAATGAGACTGAAATTTTCTGTACGTCCTGACTGGATGTTGTTGCAGTTCTGTGCTGTGAAATCTGTTGAGTATCTTCCTTGCATTTTGAGAAAAGTGATTGTGAACTTCCATCTGGGACAAAATGTGGGTGTGAAGAGCGTGAAAATGCAAAGGAAAAAAAGTGAGACCAGATTTCCTGGTCATTACATAATACCTTTTTTTCTTTTGCTAAAAGCACTTTTTCCTTCTGATATTTTAAAATTATGTCTGCGCAGCTAGTACATCAGAATGGGAAACTTGCTAAGCTAAATGTGGAGCATCCCTCCAATCTGCACCCCCCAGTAAATTTACCATTTTTCTGTGCTGAAAAGTGGCTTTTTCGTTCTTGACCAGTAACCTGCAGCTCTTTACACCACATCTCCAGCTCCTGCTGTATGGGTGGCTGACACAGTGGCAAGAAAACACAACCTGTGCTAAGTTTCAGTGTGCTTGTTTGCATACCAGAGTGGTGTTGTTCTGGAGTTCCACTAGTCCTGATAAACCTTGGTCTCAGCAGAGGGAAGTAGCCTGTTCTGATTTCCATGCTAATCACAGTTCCCTTCTGGCACCCAGGTTATGAGAGCCTGGAGCTTCTTCATGACTCTCAGGAGTTTTCCATGTGTGCTTATAGCTAAATTCAAGGGCATTAGGAGCAATAATTTCTAGTGCCAGACCAGGGGTTCTCCACCCAGGAGCCCCTGAAGGAGGTAAGTTGGCTGCTCCTCTATTGGGTTTCCTGCCAGAATAAGAATTTAATTAAGAAGGGGGAGGGCACCAAGTATCATCTCCATCAAATATTGTTCCTCGTGGAAACTATTCAACAACTTGCTCATTGATGTAATTACTGTAGCACGCATTTTGTAATTAGAAGACTTAAATGGCGAAAATACTTTTCTTAATTTAGTGTTGGGTCTTTTCAGGTTCTCACTTGTGGTTTTTGTCTTAAGATGCAAAGCAAAATGGACTTAAATATACTTTGAAGTAACTGAAGTCACAGCAGAAACTGTTGGAAGAGCATTTTGAAAAGTCCAAGCACTAGTCAAGAATTTCTGTAGGATATTTTTTTTCTTTCCAAAAGGTATAGTAGGGTTTTGTAGCACTGATTCCATGTAATTAGTGGAGCTCCATGGTACAGTGACTACCCACACTCAAACAAAAGCTAAGTTAGTATATTTTAAGTTACTTATAGTTTTTTTTCTTTCAGTTTTGTCTTTTTAGAATCACATCTAAATTTTTATAGCAGATTATTTTTGTCATAATCTTAACAGTTCTAAATTTAGAATTCAAATAATTGAATCCTAAATTAGCTTATGTAGTCTTCAAAACAGTTTAGTGTAACTGATCCTACCGTATTGTTTAAATGGATGAAGTGGCTTAACTTTTAAATAGAAATTGTAGTAAATGATTCAAGTTTCTCCTAGAGCAGTAGTCCTATCCTCTCCAAAGATAACAGGATAAATGCTGCTGTCCTCTGACTACAAAGGAAGCCTATGTGACTAGTTTGGGCAAAACCCCTAGGTTAAGGTAGCTAAAGTAAAATGAATTGAATCTTACCCTTAAGAATGTATCCTACAAGGACTTTTAAAAAAAGGTGTAAGTATACAAAAGTATCAGTGAGCTATTTTTGTTTGTTACAGGGTGGGATGGAAAGCCATTGCATGTGGAATTTTGGAAGTACTTAGGACCTGGGTTATAAGAAAAGGTTGATAATGTTGGTGGGAAAAAGGCCCCTTCAATAGTAAACTGCAGTGGATCAGTCACACACCTTTCTTTAGTCTGTTGTGTTGGATAAAAAGCAGGCATGAACATGACCTGTGGATGGCATATTATCATAACCCATGGGCTATGCTGTAAAATGCACTGTTTTATAAACTCCTGGAATGGGTTCATGGAACTTTTTTGAAGTAGGTGATTACTCAGAGTCTTCATTAACTTTTTAGCTGCTTCCCAAAAATACAACATTTAATAAGGAGAGTGCCCTAGTTCTACATGTCTAGCCTTTACACTTTCCAAAAGGGAAATTGATATGTCTTTTTTTTAATACGGAGAAATCATTCAGCATCAGAAATGACACAAGAAATCGAGTAATTTTGGATCTATAGCTAATTTTATTAAAATGGAGTTTTCTGTAAAAAGGTGAACCATTTAGTTTTACATATATTTACAGTGGTGTGTTAATTTTTTATTGATCACAGAACTTTTTAAAGGAGTATTAGCCTAAGTATTCTTGGGCTTTTTGAACGTTTTATTGCCTAGACCAGAATCTCATCTGTATAAAATAGGAAGAGTTTTTTAATGCAGGCAGGTAGCTCCTTGTCAGTTAGGGTAGAGGATGTGTCTTAATGTTTAAATATTTGTTTACAGGTAGAAAAGTCCAGTTTTGGAAAGTTAATTGCTATTTAACAGCATAGAAGCAGAAAATATATCTAAGTAATGTAATAGGTAATAGGTAGAGGTGAAATACTGAAGACTGGGAATTCCTGATCAGAAACTTTGGGTGAGGACTGAGAAAAAAGTAGTGACAGAGAATGATGACATACTAGAGTTATTCATACTTCAGAGTGGGGAAAATGTGTACTGGTTAGAAAAGAAAAAATAAAATAGAATATAGGCTTCAAACTGCACTAGGGAATAGCAGTGTTTACAATCAGATTTCCTTGACTGCTCTTTGCAATATGAAAACAATCTTAGTTGCAGCATGCTTTTGAGAATGGTAGTCATCTTACATAACTTGAGGTATCTAAAAGTATTTTTACCTTCCTTCCAGTGAAGGAAGAGAGAGTTACCTATACCTTAGGCATCCATCTTAAGATGGATTGACTAATTCTCTATTTTTGTTTTCTTTTTTTGGATACTGTCCTGCTGCCAATGAATTTTTGAATTCTCAACTTCATCATATTTGAGAGCTTCCCCAAATGCAAGGAGAGAGATGAGCAGTGTCTTTCCTTGGTCTTTCAATATCATTTCCTTTTCCCTTTTGAAAGGAAGCAATGTAAAGATGAGGTCAAACAAAATGTCTTCTATTTGAACAGAGGGTACCGAAGCCTGGTTTAGGTGCAAACTCTGAAACAAGCTTTTGGTCTTGGACAGGTTTCTGAGAAGATGTTCTTTTCTCCTTGCTTACTGGTGATAGATAGTTTCAACAAACCTGATGAATGGAATAGTTGATCATCCTGGAATTGAAGACGATCTGGTTTGGGTGCAGACCATTAAATGCAAGAGTATTTGATGTGAACAATGTAATCTGAGCTGTTGAGGAAGACATACTGTCCTAGTTACAGCTTATATCATGCATTAAAATAATTCCTTTCTGATGGGAGAGGTAGAAACTTGCATTTTTCACTGAAATTATCTACTTGGAAATTATTTAAATTTCGGAGTATGTGAAACCAATTCATCAGTAAATCTTTCCACATTCCTGAGAGAGTTGTAGTTTCAAGTTCAAACTTTTAATCCTGACTTTGAAATCTTACTATACAATAAAATAAAAACTGACATGTTTTCCTACTCAGTCTTCTAAAAGTGTAGGCTCTCTGATCTGATTCAAAATGTGCTTTTAGTTTAGTGATTATGGTTATAATTAAGGGACTAATTAGAAAAACTGTAGTTATAAAGTATAAACACGGCAATCGTAATACTTCTCAGAGCAAACTGGGGAATCTGTATGCAAGCTGAATGTTTTTGCATACTTGCAGTACATGAGATACGGTATAGTTGGTGTTTACTTTAAAGAAAAAAACCCAGTTAATCATTCTTAAGCATTTGCATCATGCATCAAGACCCACAGCAAAACTGAAGACCGGTGATATTTTTTCATCTCCCTTAACCTTTGCTGCTCCTACTTGAAACTAGTTGTGTAGGCTACCAGTAGAGGCTAGATTGGTCACATTGCACCCAGGGAGGTGATGAAATCTTCATCCTTGGAGATACTGAGACTTCAGACAAGGCCCTGAGCAACCTCATCAAAGTTGGCTCTACTTTGAGCAAGGGTTGGACCAGGTGACCTTCAGAGGTCTCTTCCGAGGGCGGGGAAGAATTTTATTTCTGTGAAAGTAAGGCTGATACTTCTGATTTTCTCTGCTAAGAAAACATAAGTAAACAGTCAACACCAAACAGCATTAAAAAAGGAGTCCACAGTCACGGGAATGAGTCATAAAGTCACGTAACAATACATAAATGATTAATAATATAATTATGGATGATAATCTGCTATGTATATACATTTAAAAATATGCAAACAAACCTGCAAGCAATGATGTTGCATGTGGATGTAGTTTGTCTACCTCTGAGGTTTTTTTGGTATATGGGAAGCTGTATTTTATATAGTAGTAAATGCAAGTACCTGTTATAATTCTGTTTGTGTCAAAAGTTTATAGATTGACCTTTTCCAAATTGTGACAGTGCAGTTATCCACATGGAAAATGATAAAATATGGTGTTACTTGAAGTAAGGTATTTGTGGTTTTCTTTCAAGACCAGTAGAACAACATAGCTATTATCAAATATGAATAAATTTTTTACTGCTTGGTTTTCTCTCTTCTGTTCCTATTTATGTATAAATTTAATTGTGATGATCAGTATATTGGATATACAGTATTTAGGTTGAAAAATGCTTGTTATAATAAAGGATGTGTTCATTCAGGGATTTCTGGTGGTGGTGGCTTTTTTTTCTTTTTCCTTTTTGTTCTTAGCTGTTTGTCATTAATAGTATCAGAATTCTTCCATCATACTTCAGAAAATGCTCAGTAATTTAAAGGATTTAAAAGATTACTGCTGTTACGATTTTTTTTGTTTTCTCTTTTCAGGCCTGGCAGCTGCGATTCAGTCATCTTGTGGGCTATGGTGCCAAATACTACTCCTACCTCATGTCTAGGGCTGTTGCCTCCATGGTGTGGAAACAGTGTTTTGCTCAGGACCCATTTGATAGGTAAAACCAGAGAAAATAGTAAGTAGAATGAAGTGTCACACTACTTGCTTCTGGAAAGCATGAAACAAATGAGGCCATGTAGGCTGATGGTCTTTTTTAATGACAATTAGTTTTTAGCCTTTTTCTTGATTTTAAGAGGATTACAGAGCAGGAAATAACCCCAAAGTGTACTTTGGGACATATTCATTGGTGCAAAAATTTCATGTTGATATTTTGAAATACAGGTGTACCAGTTGGGAGGCACTGAAATCCGTATTTAGATGTAATTAGAGAGCTTGATTTTCATAGGTACCTAATTACTTGCAATTATCTATTGAAATCAAAAGCAACTGTGGGTATTAAACAAGCTTCATGTCACCGACTTCAAAGCTAAGTATAGCTATCCTACTCATTTTGCTTTGTGAAATTAAAAAGTAAATTGTGACATCACAAGTGTTCCTATACCTTAGGTGAATGTTCAGAGCATTGTAACAGAGCAACTTTTCCCCTTGGAGCAATGAATGCTAAAATGTTGTTCGCAAAATAACTTCTATAAACACAAACACATCTTCATATGTGTAAAATTTGTCCAGTTACTCATAGTATAATTTTAAATGTAATTTGAATTTGACGAGTCAACATGGAATCAAGGCAGTCATTGTTTCAGGGTGGAAGATTTAATTCCATCTCTGTCTCAGTTCTGCAGAGATCCTAGAAGCAAATATGACTGAAAGCTCAACAGGTTGTGTTTGCAGATCGCTCTAACATCTGTGTTTCTCCAGGGCAATGGGTGAGCGTTATCGTAGAGAGATGCTGGCACATGGTGGTGGAAAAGAGCCCATACTTATGGTTCAAGGTAGAAAAAAATTACAGCTGTTTTTTTCTCTTGCTTAAGGAAGAAATAATTTAACTGTATTTACCTATTTGATCTTTTTAATTTAATTATGGTTTTCCTTGGATTTATGAAAGAAAACTTGTTCTTTTACATAGCTAAGTGGATTGGTTGTCAACTTTGTGTCATGGTCAGTAGAGTAGAACTCCTTGTGATACACAGAATAAAAGACACACAGATAGATGAGGTGAAGTGTTGGAAGGGGTAGTATTACAAGGCTATCTAAAGAATTCAGAGTGTCACATACTTAAAGGAAGATATTTGACACCATTTTTGGATACAAAAAATTATTAACTTTTACATACATGGGTTTCATAATAGATCTGTTTATTTTCTATACAAGAATTTGAACCTGCTTTGGCCATGTAATTTTACCATCATCAAAATAGCTTTGATTGTGTACTTTGAATATACATGCTCATGAAATGGAAGTCTGAAGACTGTCTTAAAGAAACGTGGTTCATTATTCCTCTCAATACCATATTTCCTTTTTGAATCTGGAAAATAACTTTTAAAAAGCATTCCTATAGCAAAATTACTATTCTTCATATATTAAAAAAATGTCAGGAGAATCAAAGAAGTTTGAGAAACTGCTGACTTTGTCTCAAATCTGTCAATGAGATCAGGATAAAGACTTTCATCTGTAATGTTGCAATATTCAAACCAAACAATTTTCCATTAGTGTTACTATTCCTGATATGAGCCAGTGGGGCATCCTTCAATTTGCTCTGAGATTGTTAATATTAAGGATGAATATTAATTCACTGGCCTCTGATTACTCCAGTTTGAGAGATTGGAAGCTGTGGCTTTTTTTCTACAGGTAGGGAAGACAGTGGTAATGTGTGTATTTCATCATGAACTTGGCACAGTTTCATAACTAGAACATTTCAGTTCTTTGACCCATCTGTTTATGTTTGAGCCACCTTTGCTCTCCTTAGACTCATCATATATTAAGGAACTATATATTCTCTAGATTAGTCTATTTATATTCCTCATCTACAGGGTTGCTTTTCCTTCAGCATGACTTTGCAAACTTACCTTTCTTTACTGGTCTTCAAGAACTCGTGTTTGTAACCTCAAAAAACTGCATCCCAAGATTGTGGATTAAGTAGTTGTAAGACAGGAATGTACATCTTTACAAGCAAATCCAATTATATTGCAAGTCATATTGTAGACAGAGAAAGAATGTTTTTAAACACCATTTATGCTTATCACGTCTTCTATTTCTGAGATGTATTTTTAATTTTACTGAGCATGGAATCTTCCTGGAATGTCCTAGAGGCTATGCTGAAGTTGCTGGCAGTGTGCTCCCTTGAACTGAATATTATTGGAATGAAGTTTGCAGAATTCATCTCTGGATGAACATATCTATGGAGCTACAGCTGGCTTTCTCCCTTTCATGTGACAGAATGCAGTGGTACACGGTACAATCAGTTTGGGGTTGAGAGTATGCATCAGATATTTTGGATAAAAGTTGTTACTGAAATTAACCTGAAAAAATGGCATCATAGTCCAGGAAATTCCAGGTTTATTTTAAGTTTGAAGGAAATCCAAATATGATGAAGTATGGCAAGGTACATTGAAAGCACACAAACAAGTTTATCTCTCTTGTAATGCAATAATTAGATCTTTTAGGCGTTTCAATATTCAGAGTCCTCATGTTCATTGTCCTCAATTCATATAGTGCAGATTCTTCATCAGTGAGCCCTCAGGACCAATGGTGAGTGATGAAGTGATAGGTGTGCAGCTGGCGGTTTGAAGAAGAGAGCCAGCTGTGTGTAAGGAGTAGTTGTGTATACTGCAGGACAGTGAGCTTTGCATTAATGGTAGAATAATGGGATCATTTGTGATGGGACCAAAAAATCATATGTACAATTTGATTTTTCTTTTTTTTTTTTGTTTAAATCAGGAAATTCATAATCACTAATCAGAACTGTGTGTCACTTTAAGGTCAGTAGCTGTAGTGCACCTGCTGTTGTGTTTGTTCACATGTAATAGGAGAACCAGACAGCAGTAACTCCTGTGTCTCAGCTTTAGCATGAGTAATACTGTTGATAAGAGCACAGACTAATGATTTACAAAAAATGTCAGAAGCTTTCAAGATGTTTTCACAGAGTTACAGAATGACAGAATAGTTGAGGTTGGAAGGGGCCTCTGGAGGTCATCTGGTCCAACACCCGTGCTCAAGCAGGGCCACTCAGAGCCCAGGACCATGTCCAGTTGGCTTTTGAATATCTCCAAGGGTGGAGACTCCACAACCACCCTGGGCAACCTGTGCCAGTGCTCAGTCACACTCACAGGGAACGCAGTCAAAAAGCATTTCCTGATATTCAGAGGGAACCTCCTGTGTTTTGGTTTGTGCCCATTGCCTCTGGTCATGTCACTGGGCACCACTGAAGAGAGCCTGGCTCCATCTTCTTTGCACCCTCCTTAATAACAATAAGATCCCCCTGAGCCTTCTCTTCTCTATGCTGAACAGTTCCAGCTCTCTCAGCCTTTCATCATAGGAGGGATGGTCCAGTCCCTCAGTCATCTCAGTGGCCCTTGGTTGGATTGTCTGCAGTATGTCCATGTCTCTGTTGTGCTGAGGAGCCCAGTGCTGGACACAGCATTGCAGGTGTGGCCTTACCACACAGTGCTGAGTAGAGGGGAAGGATCACCTCCCTTGTCCTGCTGGCAATACTTTGCCTAATGCAGCCCAGGACGCCATTTGCCTTCTTTGCGGTGAGGGCCTGCTGATGGTGTATGTTAACTTGGTGTCCGCTAGGACCCCCCAGTCCTTTTCTGCAAAGCTGCTTTCTTGCTGAGAGGGCCCCAGCGTATGTTGGTGCCTGGGGTTGTTCTGTTGCAGGTACAGGACTTTGCACTTCTCTTTGTTGAACTCTGCCCCATCATCCTAGTCGTTAATGAAGATGATAAACAGGACTGGAACCAGTATTGACCCCTGGGGTACACCGCTAGTCACTGGCCTCCAACTAGACTTTGTAAAATCTAGGTAGACAATATCCATGGTCTCCCTTCATCTACCAGGCCAGTTGTTCCATCATAATAAGGTTATCAAGTTGGTTAAGCATGACTTGCCCTCGGTGAATCCATGCTGACTATTCCTGATTATTTTTTTGTTGTTCATGAGCCTGGAAATGGTTTCCACGATTAGCTGCTCCACCACCTTCCTAGGGATTGATAGGAGACTAACCAGCTTGTAGTTCCCTGGGTTGTCCTTCTTGGCTTCTTGAAGATAGGAGTGATATTTTGCTTTTCTTCGCCTTTTGGCACTTCTCCTCGTGGCCGTGATTGATCAAAGATTACTGAGAGTCACTTTGCAGTGCCATCTGCCTCAGCACTCAGCATCCCATCAGGGCCTGTGGGCTTATGTATATCCCAATTGCTTAAGTATTCCCTGATCTGATCCTCTTTCACCAAGGATACATCTTCCTTGCTTCAAATTATCCTCCTGGCCACTTTTATGTTCTGAATTTCACTTTTATACTCTGAATTTCTTTAATAGTAAATTACTTTAAACAAAGTTTAGAAGATACTCAAAATAATAAAAATAACCAGAATTCATCAGCAGATTCCTTACCTGTGCATATTGTCATGTTCATCTGTAGACAGTGCAAAACTTAAACAACCATGCTTGAATGACTCCCAGAAAAATGAAATTGAGGTGACTCAGCTCTTTTGACAAGTTAATAATTTGATAGCTTGTTTGGGATTATTTGAGGTTAAATCATAGAACTCACATGATGGAAAAGCTTATTATATGTTTATACTTAATTGTTCTTTATTTATTACAAAAATTGAGAATTTAAGGAGAAAAGTAAGAAGAGTTATTTGTTCTCTAATTTGTTTAGGTTCAATCAGCTTCTGACTCCTTTTGCTGCATTTTTTCCTTTTCATTATGGATGTTCCGGAATATTTGATTTCCATCTTTGGTTGGTTTTCATCAGTTGCAAAACTGTGCTCCTATAGCAGATGACCAAACAGATTCCTGATTAAAGACAGATTCCACTAAACTTAAAAGCTTGTTGACTTTACTCTTCTTCAGGGAAACGGTCCAGATTCTGTACTCACTAGTGCCATATTTCAAAAACCTTAAGTTCCGTAGGCTGTTATTTCAGGCATTTTTTTAATATAATGAAATGCGCTTCTACAAGTCTGACTTCTGGATGCACGTATGTAGCCTCACCTTTGAAGTGCTTCCGTATCTCATTGTGAAGTTAGCCATATTCATTGACTGCCTGATAACAGATAACTTCACAAGCACATTTCATTTATACAGTTTCTTTGTTATGATTTTCTTCTCAGAAGCTATCTATTGTCTGTCTTTTGTGTTTGGATATGACCCTAGCTTTTCATCTTTCTCCCACATGATTCCACAGATGTACTGATCAGGGAAGATAAAGGATCTGACCTGCCATCCAGTGGAGTTACTGACAAGATTCCTGTTTGGACTAGTCTTTAATTAGAAAACACAATATACTTTTGTTGTTTGTTTGTTTGGGTATCATTCTCTTGGCGTTTGTTTCATTTAAAGAAAAAAAAACCCACAAAGGCTTTATGAAACCTTTTTTAACGTTTTCTGAAGTGACTGCTTTTACCCCTTTGATAATTTCCAAAATACATAAATAGTCACAAATATGGATAGCATGAGCAATTAAAAAATGAGTGAACAAAGTTTTGTCCAGGAGGCTTGCTTTTTTTGTTGTTGTTGTTCCTTAGAGAGGAAATACAGTTTGAGAAGAACTTGATTCCTCTGTCATTTTGTGTTGGCCACATGGCTCTTTCAGACCCTCTCCTTCCCAGGACTACTTGGCTTTAGGTGTTTCGAATTCCTTTCAAGATATATAAGCCAGGTGTCCCTTCCAGGTCCAGTTGTGTGCTGGTTGCAGGTCTGAACAAGATTCAGCTGTGCACCATCCCTCCCTCTCTCCCTTGGCACTCCCTGACTGGAAAGAAACCCAGTTACATAGGCAGAAAGTGAATTGCAGTGTGAAAAGTAATGGGTTGGATGATCTGGGAACTGAGAGTATGGAACATAACCTGGAGTGCACTTCTGCTGCAGTTTCGATGCAGTCACATTGCCCTTTGGGTCTCTGAAGAAATCCTCGTGCAAAATACATGTGAAGTTGTGTTCCTGATTTGTTAATGCTGTATTAAATTGCAGACAGACATATTCAGTTGTGTGTACATGTGGTAATCAAACCAACGGAATCTGTAAATAAACACACATTTGCTCCAATGTAGTTTGAAAATTTGGTTTTCCATGCCTCAAATTGTACTTTGGAATAACTATGATTTGAAGAGGCTGTAAAAATCTTCAGATAATGATTGTATGTCTCTTTGAAAGTATAAAAAGTATGCATATATCGTAAAAGGTGATGTGAATGGCAACATATGTTAACACAAACTACATGGACACAAAATAATTAGTTTTCCAAAGGGGCAGAGGCCAAATTTTGCCACAGGCTTTATTCTTCTCCCAATTTTCAGTGATTGTAGGTTATAGCTAGCCATCTCTCAAAAGGGTGTGGTTAACCACACTGCTGTAATGTGAAAGAAAACTTCAAAGCGGAGGAGATAAGCTATGCAGTTGCCTTAGGCATGGGAGAGACTGAGCTGAAATAGGAGTTGGGCTGAATGTATAAAATGCACTCCTAGGTTTTAAAAGTGCAACCATCAGACCTTGTGGACATCTTACTAAATCATTTGGACTGAAGTGCTGAATACTTACAACATATCAAAGCTGATCTTGCTTTGATATATTTTAATGGAGTTTAAGGGGAGACATGACCATTCTTAACACATCTGTGTAGAGTAAGAGGTTAAAACACAGAAATACGGACTGTCGTGGTTTAGCCCCAGCCAGCAACCAAGCACCACGCAGCCGCTCACTCACTCCCCCACGGTGGGCCGGGGGGAGAATCGGCTGTAAAAATCTTCAGATAATGATTGTATGTCTCTTTGAAAGTATAAAAAGTATGCATATATCGTAAAAGGTGATGTGAATGGCAACATATGTTAACACAAACTACATGGACACAAAATAATTAGTTTTCCAAAGGGGCAGAGGCCAAATTTTGCCACAGGCTTTATTCTTCTCCCAATTTTCAGTGATTGTAGGTTATAGCTAGCCATCTCTCAAAAGGGTGTGGTTAACCACACTGCTGTAATGTGAAAGAAAACTTCAAAGCGGAGGAGATAAGCTATGCAGTTGCCTTAGGCATGGGAGAGACTGAGCTGAAATAGGAGTTGGGCTGAATGTACAAAATGCACTCCTAGGTTTTAAAAGTGCAACCATCAGACCTTGTGGACATCTTACTAAATCATTTGGACTGAAGTGCTGAATACTTACAACATATCAAAGCTGATCTTGCTTTGATATATTTTAATGGAGTTTAAGGGGAGACATGACCATTCTTAACACATCTGTGTAGAGTAAGAGGTTAAAACACAGAAATACCATCAGTGCCTAGTTCTTTTGGAGTTGTCTACTCTAAAATCTGTAGTTATTTATTTCATAAGGACATGATCATTTTACTACAGTAGGAGTTCTTCAGCAATGTTATTCGGTTACTCTTCATCTTTCCCTTGCAAAAGCAAATTCTGCTAGTGTCTGCTTTTGATGTCAGTGATGGGGAAATAGCAATGCAGTAGACCACTAATGCAAGAAATCTGAAATCTGTTTGTATTATCAAAAGTTGGAACTACTGGGTAGGGGGTCATTTGACATCACTATTGCCAGAACAATTTTGAATTCTCCTACATATTTAAAATAAATCATGTGGAGTCTAAATGAATGCAATTTGTAACAAATTTTGAGTGAGATTTGGTAACGCTGTATTCAGCTGCACTAAAATACATCCAACTGTACTGTAGTGAATTAGGTTTCTTTTATTTGTTTTGTAATATCCAGGGTTGGAATGTTTTTGTTATGATTTGCCATTTTTATGTAAGAGGGAAATTAAATCTACTTGAAGATTATCCCAGCATCAGTCTCTTCCCCCTAGTCATTATACTGTTAGCTTTTCTTCTTTTGCAACATATTGATAATCATAGTTTTAAGAATTGTCCGCAGCAGAATAAATGTTAGTGTGTCAAAAGAGTTGGCTAAACATTATCTGGGCTGGCTGTTTTTTTATAAAGTCAGTACTGGAAGGGGGTTTTTGTATTTTGGGGATTGGGGAGTGGTGGTTATGTCTACTGTGGCCATCTTTATCTGCTGTCTATGCCACATTAGTCATCCCATCATATTGATATCTGATAGAAAAGTGCATACTGGCTGTAGAAAAATGGTTCTTTTATAGAACCACATCTTGAAAACTGGAAGGAAGGAATAATTTCACCAACTTGAGATTTTTATACCTCAGCTAGTCATCTAGGTTTCCTTTCTGGGATACAGGGAAAAGTAGGTTCTTCATAGTCACAACTCATCTCATCATAAAGTAGACCTCTGAAAAAGGTCAGATGAGTGGCACCTATGAAAGTCTTCTTACTGTTTAGTCTCTAGAAATAGAGCCAGTTAGTTCAGATGTAAATGTCTGAAGCAAAATGAGGCCAAAAAAAGGCAAAATTAATTGCACTGTTGGGACTGGACTGTTCCATCTGAGTTTAAGATGAAGCTCCAGTACTCACGCCTGACAGTACATGTTCCAGTGGGTTGTCATCCATGTCACTTTCTTAAGGCATTCTCTCTACTTCTGAGAAAACTGCAGGAAAATTTTAAACTGCAGTTTAAACTGGAATTTTTACAAGGTTGTTAGGGAGCAAATAGGCATGTCTCCAGCCAGCCCACTCAGAAACCTGAGAGAGGGAGACTGCAAGAGGCCATGGCTCTTTGGGGAGGTTACATTAGTAGCTGGTATCTGAACCCATCTGTTTCTCAGCCCAGCATATAGCAACCCATTTTTCATTGTGAACTAGAAGTAGTTCAGTTCGGCAGTTTTACTAGCATTAGAGTAGATGACAAGTTTACCCAGTATTTGGAAATACTAATTCTGTTCTCTTTCATTTTGAAAATAGCTTGATGCAAACTTCATTTAACAGCATTTCAGTCAACCTATATATATTTGTTTTCCTTTTAGTGCTCAGAATTAATCTATTGGCAGTTTGTGTTTACCTTTGCAACATGTTTAAATCAGATTGAAATGGGATTCTCTGAGGTCTTAGCAAGAAATTTCTCTCTTGGTTGCTCACACAAAATTACCTCGAGCTGGTCTGTTTCCTAGTGTGTTTTGAATCATTGTGTTATAGTAAAAGATTCCGGTCTTTTAGCAGCATGCAATTATAATTTCTACTGAAAGCAAATATTGTTGAGGATGTGAAAGAATATAAAATTATGTTCAGTAGGTATGCCTATCAGAAAGGATAGAACAAGGTTATATTTACATTGGCAGTTGTCAGAAAGAACAGATCACTTCAAAGAAATACGAAGATTAAATTTTACATTATTTGGCAGCTACACTGTTTTTTTTTCTGGTACAAGTAATGGAGTAAATTTCCATATATAATCTTGAAAATGTTAATAACAGTGAAAAGACCAACATTAATGTAATGTTTAGTACAAAGAAACATCTGAAAAAAATTTACAGGATATATTCTCATGCTTTCTAAAAACTGGGATTCTGGGGAAGAAGGTATGAGATTTTTAGTTGGTCTGCTTATAGAATTACCTGACAAAGTACTTGAGTATGATTCTTCATTATGCTAATTTCCCTATCTGTTATTCTGTAGCCATATTCTACAGTTAACATAGGCACTAATTAAAATTCTTAAAACGTAAGTCTTAAAAATTCTGAAAAAGTCTTAAGTTCTTAACAGGTAAGGTAAAAAAGCAAAACTAAAACTGCAGTGCATTGAAAATGACACTGTCATGCATTGTGATACATTTTAGAGTTATCTGTACTCTAACTACTAAATTAAATGCTTTTAAGGTGTGTAACACTATGAGAAAATATGTTGTTTTTTTCTGGCTCTATCATACCTGGCACTCGGCAGATAAGGGTTGAAATACCCACTCAATCACTGATTTATTCCAGTCATTTGGAAATGACTGAGTCTATGGTTACACTGCTTTAAAATGAATATAATTCCCTGCTTAAGCAAGATTGTAATGATAAAAATCAGTTCACAGTTTTGAAACTTGTCAGTTCTGTGATAACATGTAACAGGTAGCTTGAAGAAATTAAATAATCCCTATACACTATAACTGCATTTATTTCTTGACAAAGAAACATGATAGCTGTTTCGGTCACATTGTGACATTAAAAGTGAGTTAGCAACAAAAATTATTACTGACAAAGCTTTCAAGGTCATAGTATTCTTGCTAAGAGCCTGTTGTCTTGGTTTTATAGGTATGCTTCAGAAATCACCTTCAGTTGAAGATTTTGTGGATGCCCTTGTTTCAGACTTAGACCAAGACTTCGAAACATTTATCATGGACTCGTGAAAACGTTCAACAGAACTGAATTCTTTTATGGAAGATTGCATACATCTTAATAATTGTGGATAAAATATTGTTGTGACTGGTTTTGCTTCTCGGTGAACACTTGTAAAAGTTGGAATATTCATGTTGATGGAACAGTAATAAATACTTTCATGGCACCACCTGGTTTCATTTATGAAGATGGTGGCTTTCCATTGCATGGGAGCTTAAGCATGAAATTTGAGAGAACAAATCCTCTAGCATGTACTGTTAGAGAATTTGATCTTGTAGGAACAGCTGGTTAAATGGGAATTGAACTCATCCTCAGGCGGAGTGGAGTGGTGTGGATGGTCTTTTGGCATGCACATTGGATTCAGTATTGGGACATACCTGTCAAATGTCATGACCCAGAACTGTTTGCATGGGTCTTTCTCACATGCTCATGGATATTCTTTAAACTTGTTTGACCCTGTTCTTTGCAGGAATTCTGCATTGGGAAGAAGCAAATTGTGTCTGCAACTGAGAGGGGAAATTGGAAAGAAAGATGAAGTGGAAAACTGGGAATTGTATTTGAGATGGGGAACAGAAAGACAGACGGGAGAAGAGAAACATACAAGTCATACAAGTAGGTGGTGGAAAATGTTAAGGTGTGGAGGAAGGAGTTAGCTTGCAACACAAAAAGAGACAAAAGAGTAAAATGGGTACCCCACAAATGTTTCCTAGTGGAGGATAATATAGAAAGTAGTCACACTCTTGTAGCTGTGATGATCCAATGGGTGTATGTGTGGCCACATTTGTAAGTAAAAGCAGTATCTTTTGTTACACAGAGCTATTGACCGGGTCTTCTTTGGGTTTGGAACAGAAGTAGTAATCTTAAAGCTAAATACAAAAGATGGACAGTTCATTCTATCAGGTGCATAAAACGTTTGGGAGGAGGAATGGAATTTACAAGGTGCCATAAAACTGGTGTTGCTATTGAATTAGTAGTTTTTGTCCAACAGTGTTAGAATTGTAGTTCCTAGGCTTATATTTTGGAGGTCTTTCACTGAGCTTCAGTGCTCATGGGTCAGGGATAGTGTAGTTGTTTTCTGAGGAGTATTCTCCCATTAACTGGGCCCTTTTGTCCTTTTATCTATTATCTGGGTGTGTTTAGTTTATTGTGTAGTGGTGGTTTAGTTTTGCCCATGTTACTTTAAGGGCTTTACTGGACGACGTGTATCACATTTTGGTGAAGATGGATTTGCGGGCATCTTGATGATTCCATCATAAAAGACACTTCCCTGGGACCCAGGTGAGAGATACTACTAAGAAGCTCCCTGGTCTGGTTCAGCCCACCGATTACTACCCACTGTTGGTCATGCTGGTTGGCAACAATGAGGTTGCACAAAGAAGTCTAAAAGCAATTAAAAGGGACTTCAGAGCACTGAGGCGACTCGTTGATGGAGCAGGAGCACAGGCAGTGTTTTCATCAATCCCTTCAGTGGCAGGGAGGAATACTGAAAGGAACAGGAAAACACACCTGATTAACACGTGGCTCAGAGACTGGTGCAGTCAGCGGAATTTTAGGTTTTTTGACCATGGGGCGGTTTACACAGCACCAGGTCACCTCGCAGCAGATGGAGTTCAACTATCTCCAGGGGGGAAAAGGATTCTTGCTTATGAGCTGGCAGGCCTCATCGAGAGGGCTTTAAACTAGATTTGAAGGGGAAAGGGGATAAACCAGGCTCACTAGAGATGAGCCTAGGGGTGACATGCTGGAGTTGGGGGTGAAATCGATAGCCCAGCTCAAGTGCATCTTGAGTGCGTACACCAGTGCACGCAGTGTGGGCAGCAAATAGGAGGAGCTGGAAGCCGTTGTACAGTGGGACAGCTATGACTTAGTTGCCATCACAGGTGGGATGACTCTCATGACTGGAGCGCTGCAATGGATGGCTACAAGCTCTTCAGAAGGGATAGGCAAGGAAGGAGAGGTGGTGGAGTGGCCCTGTATGTTAGGGAGTGTTTTGACTGTACAGAACTCAACAATTGTGATGACAAAGTCGAGTGCTTATGGGTAAGGATGAGGGGGAAGGCCAACGAGGCAGATATCCTGCTGGGAGTCTGTTATAGACCACCCAACCAGGATTAAAGAGGCAGATAAAACATTCTATAAGAGACTGGCAGAAGTCTCGCAATCGCTGGCCCTTGTTCTTGTAGGGGACTTCAATCCACCTAACATCTGCCAAGAGTATAACACAGCAGAGAGGAAACAGTCTAGGAGGTTCCTGGAGTGTGTGGAGGGTAGCTTCCTGACACAGCTGGTAAGGGAGCCCACCAGGGGAGGTGCCTTGCTTGACCTGCTGTTTACAAACAGAGAAGGACTGGTGGGAGATGTGGTCGGAGACTGTCTTAGCTTAGCATCCATGACATGATAGGATTCTCAATTCTGAGTGAATTAAGGAGGGGGTTCAGCAAAACTGCTACCACGGACTTCCCGAGGGCAGACTTCAGCCTTTTCAGGTCACTGGTTGAGAGAGTCCCTTGGGAGACAGTTCTGAAGGACAAAAGGGTCCAGGAAGGCTGGACAGTCTTCAGGAAGGAAATCTTAAGGGCGCAGGAGCAGGCGGTCCCCATGTGCTGTAAGACAAGCTGGCGGGGAAGACGACTGGCCTGGCTGAACAGGGAGCTCTTGCTGGGACTCGGCGGGAGGGGGAAAAGGAGAGTTTGTCACTTTTGGAAGAGGGGGAAGGCAACTCAAGACGAGTACAAGGATCTTGTTAGGTCAATGCAGAGACAAAATTAGAAAGGCAAAAGACCAGCTAGAACTCGATCTGTCCATGGTTGTAAGGGACAACAAAAAATGTTCTTACAAATGTATTAACAAAAAGGCAAGGAGAATCTCCATCCATTATTGGATGCGGGGGGGAACATTGTCACCAAGGATGAGGATAAGGCTGAGGTATTTCATGTCGCCTTTGCCTCAGTATTTAATATCCAGACTAGGTATCCTCAGGGTATTCATCCCCCTGAGCTGGAAGACAGGGATGGAGGGCAAAATAAATTCCCTGTAATGCAGGAGGAAGCAGTTAAGGACCTGCTATGCCACCTGGACACTCGCAAGTCTATGGGGCTTGATGGGATCCACCCAAGAGTATTGAGGGAGTTGGCAGGGGAGCTTGCCAAGCCACTCTCCATCATTTATCAGCAGTCCTGGTTAACAGGGCAGGTGCCAGATGACTGGAGGCTTGCC